CAGTGACCTTTCAGATATTGATAGTAAATCACTTGCTGAGTTAATTAGGGTGATTGGTGGGCCTCATGATACCTTAAAATGGAGTGATTATTCACTTACATCTGATCATCTTGAAAAGCTGGTTGAATCAAAAGGTGAGAATGAGACATTGAATTGCGATAGGATAGACATGAGTAAGATTAACCTATCTTCAATCAGAGGAAGAACATTAGCTTACCTTTTTAAGGTCTCTCCACACCTCATACATATTGACATGAGTGAATGTAATTTATCAGGTAATATTATTAATGAAATGACGGAGGAATGTTGCAGGATGAATGTAGTATTAAAAGACAACATGCTTACATTGAAGGGCAATGACCTTTCAGATATTGATAGTAAATCCCTTGCTGAGTTAGTTAGGGTGATTGATGGGCCTCATAATCCCTTAAAATGGAGTGATTATTCACTCACATCTGATCATCTTGAAAAGCTGGTTGACTCAATAGGTGTGAATAAGACATTGAATTGGGAGAGGATAGACATCAGTAGGATTAACCTATCTTCAATCAGAGGAAGAGCATTAGCTCACCTTTTTAAGGTCTCTCCACACCTGATCCATATTGACATGGACCATTGTAATTTATCAGGTAGTATTATTAATGAAATGACGGAGGAATGTTGTAGGATGAATGTAGTATTGAAAGATAACATGCTTAGTTTGAAGGGCCATGACCTTTCAGATATTGATAGTAAATCACTTGCTGAGTTAATTAAGGTGATTGGTGGGCCTCATGATACCTTAAAATGGAGTGATTATTCACTTACATCTGATCATCTTGAAAAGCTGGTTGAATCAATAGGTGAGAATGAGACATTGAATTGCGATAGGATAGACATGAGTAAGATTAACCTATCTTCAATCAGAGGAAGAACATTAGCTCACCTTTTTAAGGTCTCTCCACACCTCATACATATTGACATGAGTGAATGTAATTTATCAGGTAGTATTAATAATGAAATGACGGAGGAATGTTGTAGGATGAATGTAGTATTGAAAGACAACATGCTTACATTGAAGGGCAATGACCTTTCAGATATTGATAGTAAATCCCTTGCTGAGTTAGTTAGGGTGATTGATGGGCCTCATAATTCCTTAAAATGGAGTGATTATTCACTTACATCTGATAATCTTGAAAAGCTGGTTGAATCAATAGGTGAGAATGAGACATTGAATTGGACAAGGATAGACATGAGTAAGATTAACCTATCTTCAATCAGAGGAAGAACATTAGCTCACCTTTTTAAGGTCTCTCCACACCTGATCCATATTGGCATGGACCATTGTAATTTAACAGGGAGTATTATTAATGAAATGATGGAGGAATGTTGTAGGATGAATGTAGTATTGAAAGACAACATGCTTAGCTTGGAGGGCCATGACCTTTCAGATATTGATAGTAAATCACTTGCTGAGTTAGTTAGGGTGATTGATGACTCTTTTGAAAACTTCAGTTGGAGTGATTACTCACTCACATTTGATCATCTTGAAAAGCTGGTTGACTCGATAGGTGTGAATAAGACATTGAATTGGGAGAGGATAGACATCAGTAGGATTAACCTATCTTCAATCAGAGGAAGAGCATTAGCTCACCTTTTTAAGGTCTCTCCACACCTGATCCATATTGACATGGACCATTGTAATTTAACAGGTAGTATTATTAATGAAATGATGCAGGAATGTTGTAGGATGAATGTAGTATTGAAAGACAACATGCTTAGCTTGGAGGGCCATGACCTTTCAGATATTGATATTAAATCACTTGCTGAGTTAGTTAGGGTGATTGATGACTCTTTTGAAAACTTTAGATGGAGTGATTACTCACTCACATCTGATCATCTTGAAAAAATGGTTGACTCAATAGGTGTGAATAAGACATTGAATTGGGAGAGGATAGACATCAGTAGGATTAACCTATCTTCAATCAGAGGAAGAGCATTAGCTCACCTTTTTAAGGTCTCTCCACACCTGATCCATATTGACATGAGCCATTGTAATTTATCATTTAGTATTATTAATGAAATGATGGAGGAATGTTGTAGGATGAATGTAGTATTGAAAGACAACATGCTTAGTTTGGAGGGCAATGACCTTTCAGATATTGATAGTAAATCACTTGCTGAGTTAGTTAGGGTGATTGATGACCCTTTTGAAAACTTCAGATGGAGTGATTACTCACTCACATCTGATCATCTTGAAAAGCTGGTTGACTCAATAGGTGTGAATAAGACATTGAATTGGGAGAGGATAGACATCAGTAGGATTAACCTATCTTCAATCAGAGGAAGAGCATTAGCTCACCTTTTTAAGGTCTCTCCACACCTGATCCATATTGACATGAGCCATTGTAATTTATCATTTGGTATTATTAATGAAATGATGGAGGAATGTTGTAGGATGAATGTAGTATTGAAAGACAACATGCTTAGTTTGGAGGGCAATGACCTTTCAGATATTTATAGTAAATCATTTGCTGAGTTAATTAGGGTGATTGGTGAGCCTCATGATACCTTAGATAATTACTTTCCAAGGTATAACAAGCCTCATAATACCTTAAAATGGAGTGATTATTCACTTACATCTGATCATCTTGAAAAGCTGGTTGAACCAATAGGTGAGAATGAGACATTGAATTGGACAAGGATAGACATGAGTAAGATTAACCTATCTTCAATCAGAGGAAGAACATTAGCTCAACTTTTTAAGGTCTCTCCACACCTGATACATATTTCCATGAGTGAATGTAATTTATCAGGTAGTATTATTAATGAAATGATGGAGGAATGTTCTAGGATGAATGTAGTATTGAAAGACAACATGCTTACATTGAAGGGCAATGACCTTTCAGATATTGATAGTAAATCACTTGCTAAGTTAGTTAGGGTGATTGGTGGGCCTCATGATACCTTAAAATGGAGTGATTACTCACTCACATCTGATCATCTTGAAAAGCTGGTTCAATCAATAGGTGAGAATGAGACATTGAATTGGATAAGATAGACATGAGTAGGATTAACCTATCTTCAATCAGAGGAAGAACATTAGCTCACCTTTTTAAGGTCTCTCCACAGCAGATCCATATTGACATAAGCCATTGTAATTTATCAGGTAGTATTATTAATGAAATGATGGAGGAATGTTGTAGGATGAATGTAGTATTGAAAGACAACATGCTTAGATTGGAGGGCAATGACCTTTCAGATATTGATAGTAAATCACTTGCTGAGTTAATTAGGGTGATTGGTGGGCCTCATGATACCTTAAAAAGGAGTGATTACTCACTCACATCTGATCATCTTGAAAAGCTGGTTGACTCAATAGGTGTGAATAAGACATTGAATTGGGAGAGGATAGACATCAGTAGGATTAACCTATCTTCAATCAGAGGAAGAGCATTAGCTCACCTTTTTAAAGTCTCTCCACACCTGATCCATATTGACATGGACCATTGTAATTTATCATGTAGTATTATTAATGAAATGACGGAGGAATGTTGTAGGATGAATGTAGTATTGAAAGACAACATGCTTAGTTTGGAGGGCCATGACCTTTCAGATATTGATAGTAAATCACTTGCTGAGTTAATTAGGGTGATTGGTGGGCCTCATGATACCTTAAAATGGAGTGATTATTCACTTACATCTGATCATCTTGAAAAGCTGGTTGAATCAATAGGTGAGAATGAGACATAGAATTGCGATAGGATAGACATGAGTAAGATTAACCTATCTTCAATCAGAGGAAGAACATTAGCTCA